GCCTACAGATATTTTATAAAACTGCAACAAAGTCACTGAACTCCGGGATAAATAAAAACAAACTGTTTAATACTTAGCTTTCATCAGTTCTCTGCTGACATCTCAGAGTAAAACAGGGTTTTACCCACCCCTCGCTCTCCCCCAGTCAGCTGTATTGCTCCTAATTGTGCCGCTGACTGGGGGAGAGCAAGGGGCGGGTAGACTGGTTACGTGCTGTATGACCAGATCGCTGAAACAGCTGGCTATATAAGCAGGTCTTCTGACTACTGGCTTTTACTCTGAAGACGTCAGCAGATGACTGATGAAAGCTAAGTATTAAACAGTAAACAGTTTGTTTTTATTTATCCTGGAGTTCAGTGACTTTGTTGCAGTTTTAATATAAATACACCTGGGATTTGAGTTTTTAAGATAATTAAGGAATGTGTGTGTGTGTGTGTGTGTGTGTGTGTGTGTGTTGAGAAAAATAGTTGAACACTGGGATAAATATAAAAACAACTGTTTAATAAACTAACAACTATTTGATAAACTTAGCTTTCGTCAGCTAACTGCCGATGTCGTCAGAGTGGAATGCTGGAAGTTTGAAAGCCTGCTTATAAGACTGGCAGTTTGTGCGCTCTGCTCATAGAATGCGTTAGCGGTCTACCCGCCCCAGTTGACCGTATTGCTTCTAATAGTCTCACATCCGTCTGTATACTCATAAGCTCGGGGATCATCGCCTCTCTTGTTGTCGCTCTCTTGTCCTCCAGTCAATCCACAAGCAAATTGGCAATCAGAGTTCTGGGATCATAGTATTCTGAAACTCTTGATAACACTCTTCTTTACTTTTCCTAAAGCCCATGGTTGAAAGAAGGGGAAAGAGGACAAGCAATCTTCCTGTGCTACAGTGATATGAGAATGGGTGTTCTGAGTTTTTTTTAATGAAGGAGAAGTCAGCTGTACTGAGCTATGATGTAACATTTCACATTTGTGGACTGTAACTTGCTTCTTTCAATGTCCTTCTTTGTTGTCCTTCAATTGTGATTCCTATAGACCCAGAGCTGGCTGGAGTATTCTGAGTCTTGAAATCCACCCATCTTAACATTGCCAAGTTTGAAAAACACTACTATAGATTATGGTAAAATCCTTTATTCTGGGAAGATACAGGTGTAGTGGGGACATTAGCTTGGCAGCTCTCTGGCCACTCAGAATATAACTTGCAAATCAAATAAATACAGCATGAAAGCCAAGTGTGGACATCAAAACACGAGAAGTCATTCTTCTCCTGCAAGTCATGACACAATGGCTCTGCAGCAGCATCTTTTGGTAGCTATCAGATGGCAATTCTTCTGCTCCATCTGTGGTGGCTGCCATGATCCAAAGTTTTGTTTGTTTGCAAATAAAATATTTCTCCTCTACTTCAGCTGTGTTTTATATGAAAACTAAATCATAGAGCATAATCATCTTCATTTTTGACTGTAGGTTAACATTTGCTATTCTCTTTGAGAAATACTTCTTGTGATGTTGCTTATCCCAAAAGCAAAATAGTTTTGTAATGTATGTCTTAATAAATGTCTTTTAGGTTTCTGATTCTCATTTTTCTTTGCATCTCTTTGAGATTCCAAAGGTATATTTCTATTAATATGTTAAAATAAAGGTTCCCAACCTCCCGGCCAGGGCCCACTACCAGAATTGGGCCGCGTGAGTGGCTGACCAGAGTGCATTCATGCGCATGTGCAGCTCAACTTGTGCAAGTGGCAGGCCGCCAGGCATTCCCGGGCTGGCCCGCCACTCATACCAGCCCACCACTCAGGTGGCCCAGTTTCCCTCTCCCTCCCCCAGCTGGGCTGTCAAGCCACAAAGATTGGGGACCCCTGCATTAAAAGCAAAAGCAAAAATGTATCTGGCAATGTTAAAGACTACTGCATATATTATGGCATGTGCTGTTTCTGGACCAGAGTCCATCTCAACAACAATTAGCTGATATAACACATTCATCTTCCTAGCTTTGGCATACTAACACTTAGAATCAGTGAGAAAGATTCTTAATCTATATTCTATTAAGATGGATTAATGATGACTCTTGTTCAGGCAGTAAGAAGCTCAATTTCCTTTTTGAAATTTCCTTTCTGGAGAATATTGCAGAGTTGACAATGCTTAGCCCAACCTTGATTTTACGCAATCTCAATTGTAACCCCAGCTTTCTGGAACATTTTCCCTTCAGCGATGAGGGTGGCTCCAACCCTGTTGGCCTTTGGTAAGACATAGTAATATGCCTCAGCCGGAGGCCCAGATTATGTTAAGGGCCCCATTTTTTGGTTATATTGATATTTATTATCATACTTTTTCTTGCTTGTTATACATATGTATTTATTTTTCTATTATATTTGTATTTGGTTTTAATTGATTTTATGATTAACTACCCAGAGGAACGTATTTGAAATTGGCAGCTATAGAAATTTAATAAATAAATCAAAATGTACCTTGAGATAGCTAAGTAGGGTTAAATGTGGAAACTCCAGGACTTTAAATTAGAGTGATTTTTTAAAAAATATTCTGGAAGAAGCAAACACCAATAACTTATGTACTATTGTTAAGAAAAACAACAACATGACCCTGGCTATTTAGTTATTAGGGAAATTCTTGGTGCAAGATTTTTTTCTTTTTTAAAAAGGATGATGGTTCTTATTATTTAGAGTAGTGGTGCTCAGATTTTTTTCCCATTCTGTTTTATAATTTTAAAGTTTAACATACAAACATTTGCAAAATTAAGTGTGCTGATACTTAAAGCTTATAAATCAACAAACGTTAGGCATATATATGCTAATCTAGTTGCATCATCTCCCTTCCTTCATCCTAGATTGACACCTCCCCCCCCAATCTGTCTATTGTTCTATTTAGCTGTGTTTCCTATGCCAGGAGAATGATCTTCAAAAGAAAAAGGCTTTCTTCAGAAAATCTTGGAGCCATGGAAATAGCCATGTTTTTCTAGTTTTTGTAGAGAAGTATTGAAATTAAGAATTATACTAGTGGACAATATATTCAGCATTCATTAGGTCTCCAGGAACCTAGCTTGGCACAAATTATTTACTGAAACTTCAAACTACTATTGAGGATTCACTAAAATGGGAAAGTTGATGATGATGATACCAACATAATTTGTATGCTCAAAATAGCCATGTGCTGTCAGCATGTATATGAGAATGTTTAAAAACTTACAGACATTTTATGATCAAAACTTACCAGAGGGAAGCAGTTGATTTATTAGCATTGATTTATATGTACCTGGCACTTCACAAAGAACCAGTCTGACAAGTCGCTCTCTCAGTGGATTTGTTTAACTAAGAAAGAAACAACAGACAAAGATAAGGGGAGGAATTTTCTATTTCTATATTCTAGTATTATGGGATCAGAGTTAGGTTAGATAGAATGACATATACCTTTGAAGTAGGTTTTGTACTAATCAAAACTCAGATATGATTTTTCTTTTTTTTAATGATAAACTTTACCTGAACAGACTGATGCTATTTCTAGAATTATGGAATTTCCTTGTAAATTATATTGGGGATTTTTTTCCCGAGGAACCATTAACTACTATTCCAGGTTCTGTAATTTGTAGCTCTGACTGATATGAGCAGCTTACAATTCTTATGGCTCATCTGATGTTCCTTACAAAGGAACATTTTTGGATGACTGAATGTGTCTTTGCATTATCCGTAACGTAAGTGAGAGGCATCATGAGTCATGAATCAACATCATTGAGGCTGACTCATCTAAAAAGCAGCATGAGGAATACGCTGGCTGTTGCTACAGACTGGACTGTCTGCTTTTTCCAAATACTACAGATGCTTATGGAAGACAATGCTTCATTTGTGTGTATTTTGTATGTGTTTTGCTTGAGATAAGCTTGTGTTTTTTTATGAGGGAATTTAGAAAGGAATGCTGTCAGCACAGTTGGCAGTACAAAAGCTGGAAGAGCTGAGCAATAGTTAAGGAATAAAATATCTCTCTCTCCTACAAAAGTCCAGAATAAGGAGAAGCATACAGTATATAACGAGATGGGAGAGGTTGGGTAACCCATTGCCTAGTTGGCTGATGGCCAAAAGCCCATCTGTTTAAGGTATGAAGATCATAACAGAAAAGGGTGCTTCTGTTATGCTTTGATTCTGCTTTGCTTTTAGAAAAGAGGAGATAGGTTTATTCTTTTCTGTGAGTGCCCCTGCCATTAGTTATTTACAATGCTAAAGGATTCTTGCTAAGTTGAGTCCATTGTCAACCAAAGTAATGGCCTAAACCAGGGGTAGGCAACCTTGGCTCTTTTATGATTTGTGGACTTCAACTCCCAGAATTCCTGAGCCAGCATGGCTGGCTCAGGAATTCTGGGAGTTGAAGTCCACGAATCATAAAAGAGCCAAGGTTGCCTACCCCTGGCCTAAATCCATTCAGATAGTAAATGGAAGCAACTCCAAGTATGCTAAACCTTAATGAATATGATGTATAGAGAGAATGTTCTTAAGAAAATCATCAGCACCATCACCAGAGAGTACAGAACAAAACCCAAGCTCACAGCCCAGTGGGGATACCTTGAAAAGATGCCATGATTCCCTGAAACAACATTGGATTTTTTTCTGAAGTAACCAAAATCAAATTTGTCAATTTCCATAGAGTGCTTTTTTTGTGAAAGTTGCTGATTGTATTGCTTCCATGGCTTCTGCTTGCTTCTCTTTCTACATTCCACTTGCAACATTGCTGTAGATAGCAAAAAACAAAACAAAAAACCCAACCCACACTTTTGCATTAAACCCCATTGCTGAAGAGTAGTTGTCCTGTTCTCTCTGTAACATGCCAGTTCAAGTCCACATTTGCTATCTGATGCTAAGTGGCTTAGCAGTCTAGTACAGTGTTTTTCAAACTTGACAACTTTAAAATGCATGGACTTCAACTTCCAGAATTTCCCCAGCCAGCTTCCTGCTAGAGAATTCTGGGAACTGAATCCATGCATTTAAAGTTGTGAAGATTGAGAACATCGAACTAAGCTATTCCATTACTTAGAGCCAAATTATATGAGGAAAATAAAAGTATGTTTATAAAATTTAACACTGCATTCCCATTTTTTAACCTAGAATGTCATTGATTTTTATTATGGTAATATCTTATATTATTTAACATATTTGCATGTAAAAGTACACCAGTTGATCTAATTTTCTGCTTTGAGTTGTCTTAAGCAGAGAAATTATACTGAAGCTAGGGCCATAATGATAATAGAATTCAAACAGACAAGCATCTGCCACATACTACCCCAGACTTAACAACTGGATAGTGGGCACAGCAATATCTAAAGGCAGCAGAATAAAAGAGAAGAATGGAAGAAAATCACAAAATACAAAGACAATGACTGTGGCAAAAGAAAGCAAAGATAAGTACCAGGGTACCTTGGTGCAATCCCAAAATATCTAAATCACCTCTTGAACACTACCAGCATTGACAAAATTGCCATCAGTTAATTGCAAAAGGAAGCTTTACTTGGGACAGCTTACATTCTGAGACTGACACCTTTTACAACATCAAACAACAGCATCTGCCTATCCCAGGTCCAGAGTACAGAGAAAGCAGAGCTGCTTAACTCATTGTTTGCATCAGTGTTCACACAAAAAGAAACTATAGCCCAACCTACCCAAAACCTAACTATAAAAGACAGACTAGAAATAAAAATTAAAATAAGCAAGAAAATGGTTAGAGAACATCTAGCTGATCTTGATGAATATAAATCACTGGGACCTGATGGGTCTGGCAGATGTTATCTCAGAACCATTGTACTATATCTTTCAAAAATTCTGGAACACCAGAAGTTTGGAAAGGAGCTGATGTGGTTCCCATCTTCAAAATAGGGGAAAAAAACAGACCCAGGAAACTACAGACCAATCAGCCTAACATCAATACCTGTGAAGACACTGGAAAAGATAATCCACAAACAGATCTGCGAACATCTAGAAACAAATAAAGTTATAAATAAAAGCCAGCACAAGTTTGCTAAAAACAGATCATGCCAAACCAATCTTATTTCATTCTTTGAGAAAATGAGTAAATTAGTAGACCAGTGAAATGCTGTGGACATGGTATACTTAGATTTCAACAAGGCATTCAACAAAGCAGACCACAACCTACTTCTTGGTAAGCTAGAAAAATGTGGGATAGACAGCATCACCACCAGATATATTTGTAACTGGCTGACAAACCATACTCAACGAGTTGTCTTTAATGGAAGGAAGTAAGAAGTGGGGTGCCACAGGATTCTGTCTTAGGCCCAGTACTCTTCCATATCTTCATAAATGACTTAGATGAGGGAATAGAAGGGGTACTCATCAAATTTGCAGGTGACACTAAGCTGGCAGGAATACTACACCTCAGAAGACAAGCTCAGGATCCAAAAAGATCTTGACAGATTTGAACAATGGGCCCTAGCCAACAACATAAAATTTAAAGTGGAGAAAAGCAAGGTTTTATACTTAGGCAGGAAAAAACAAAAGTACAAGTATAGATTAGGTGAAACCTGGCTCAAAAACAGTAACTGTGAGAGGGATCTTGGAGTCCTAGTGGACAATCACTTAAATATGAGCCAGCAGTGTGTGGCAGCAGCCAAAAAAAGCTAATACAATCCTAGGTTGTATAAACAGAGGCATAGAATCAAAATCACGTGAAGTATTAATACATTTTTATAAATTCTTTGTAAGACCACACCTGGAATACTGTATTCAGTTTTAATCACTACATTAGAAAAAAGATGTTAAGACTTTAGGAAAAAGTGCAAAGAAGAGCATCTAAGATGATTAAAGGCTTGGGAACTAAAACTTATGAAGAACAGTTGCAGGATTTGGGTTTGGCTAGTCTAGAGAAAAGAAGGAGTAGGGGTGACACAACATCAGTGTTCCAGTATTTGACAGGTTGCCACAAAGAGGAGGGAATCAACTTATTTACCAAAGCACCTGTAGGCAGAACAAGAAACAATGGATGCAAACTAATCAAGGAGAGAAGCAACTTGGAACTAAGGAGAAACTTCCTAACAGTGACGACAATTAATTAGTGGAACAGCTTGCTTCCAGAAGTTGTAGGTGCTCCATCACTGGATGTTTTTTTAGAAAAGACTGGACAGTCTTTTGTCTGAAATGGTATAGGGTCTCCTCTTTGAACAGGGGGTTGGACTAGAAGACCTCCAAGGTCCCTTTAAATCCAAGTTGCATGAATACCCCTGCCTAAGGAACTTAAGATTGTGTGGTCACCTAAAAGGATCTTGTGTTATTTGTGTTCATTGAGATCAAAATGATATTTGAAAATGTAACCCACAGGATATATTGTATGGGCCATTATCTGCATTACAGTCATAATTAGCATGCTATATTTGTGCATAGTTCTAAGGAATAATCTTTTATATTACTTTTATAACAGGTGATGTTTCTGTAGAAAAGGGAATTGGAAAAGATGATACTATTTCTCTTGATTGGCACCCGGACTCCAATGTGACTTGTGGCTACGTAGTGAGGTGGTGTTATAGTCCTGAGCCGTGTACAGCTGTTCACTGGGAAACGTTTTCTTCAAGTGTGACAAATGCTGATATTAAATCAGGTAAGAGCAACACTTCAGCTTTCCTTTTGAAATGAAGGCTAAGTGGGCAAAGAAAGGCAGAAACCTTTTACAATATAAATATTTGAAGAAGCCAACTGGCAACTAACAAGGGGATTCTCCCTATGCTTAAGGAGCTACCTTAACGCACCCAGCTCTCTATCCCTACTACATGCTACTTTGGACCGCTGGCTCTTGTTGCCTGCTGATGGGTCACAATAGCACATGTTAAGTCATGTCAAGTCATGCCATGTAGACAGGCAAGCCCTTCTCAGAAAAGAGTTATGTACCAATAATAAATCAACAAATAATAAAACAAAAAGGAAAAACTCCCAAGAAACTGCCAAATTTATTTTGAGGAAGAGCATTATTACAGCTTACTTATGCTCAACATATTCCATCGAAAGGTCCCAATTGTTAGATAAGTTGTAATTTTCTCGATTTCTATTGTAAAAGAATACATTCCTCTAATTCAAAAGATTGTTTCCTACCTGCTTGATATGAAAATACACCTTTATTTTAAAGTTAGCGCCATAATGAAAAAATTATAAATTACATTTTTGTGTTGCAGCTGTCTTCCAGCCTGGAGTTCGATATACATTTTCTGTCTTTGGCTGCAAAGAAACTGGATATCAGCTACTGGGATATATCAAGGGCTACATACAAGAACTGAGTAAGCACATGCTATTATTTTTTGTTAAACGTTATTGGCAGAAACGTGTTCATTAATGGAAGTGGAGATTGTTGAACAAAAGCCAGGATATGAAATAAGAGCCAGCTAATACTAGCTTTGCGCTTGCATTTAAGTACGTTTATACAGCTGGTTGGCTCAGATTTTTATTTTCAAATAATAGGATACAATTAGAAGAATTACAGCTCTGTCTTGAAAAATAAAGGGGGAAAGAAGATAGAGTATAAACAGGATTCAGCCCTTTGAGAAAATGCTGCAGTAATCTAAATGTAATCATTAAATCCAGTCCTTAATGTTAAATGTAACTTAAATGTCTATAGGTCTAGCTAGAAATAAAGACAGCTCCAGAAAGGAAAGGTGTCTCAGAGTGCAACTCTTGAACTTTTTTCCCATGTTGAAAATGATTCAAAGAATACTTGAGTGAAGAGCTGTTCTAGACTCCCACTTTTCTTGCAGAACAGAATTCTGCTAAACATAAATCATAATCCTTCTTTTAAGATGGGTGGAGCTCATTAGAATCCAAGAGGGTTGAGGTAATAGACAATAAAATGCCATCAATAATTGTATTATTTCTTGGAAAATTAATATAACAAAATGGGTGTCCCAAAGGTGCTTTTTCAAAAGGCAGCTGGACTTTCTTTGTTTTTGCTTGAAGATGTTTTGCTTCTCATCCAAAAAAGCTTCTTCTGAAGAAGTTCAGAACTGAAAAAGCTTCTTGGATGAGAAGTGAAACATCTTCAAGCAAAAACAAAGAAAGCCCAGTTGCCTTTTGAAAAAGCACCTTTGGGACAACCATGACTTGGATGACTGAGAATCTCCATAGACAACAAGAAGAGTGATTTTGTTTCAGGATTTAACCACTTCTGAATGTTCCAGCTACCTAGAATTGCCTTCTGTTTGCGAAAGGCATTGTTTTACTTCACTATAGCCCAATGATTCAATCTTGATAACTTTAAGATGGGTGGACTTCCAGAATTCCTCAGCCAGCATGGGGAATGGAAGACCATCCATCTTAAAATTGCTAAGGTTGTGAAACACTGCACAGTTGCTCCAGTGGGTAGAGGAGGATATTCTGAGTAGTAGGGGAATCTGTCCTCTCCACATTCAAGGAATATTTGGTTGTTTCCTATCCAGGTCCCAAAAAGGCACCTGATTTTAGTGTGCAACAAACCACCTCTGATTCCATCTCAGTAAAATGGAAGAATATATCTGTGGAAGACAGACGAGGCTTTTTGCAAGGTTATGCGCTTCTTTGTGCCAAAGGAGAGAAAGATGGCCCAGCACCAAAATATTTTCAATCAGGTAAAAAAATATCAGTTGGATTATTTTCATTTTTTCCCCAAAATGTGACCTTTCGTTTTAGGATTATAGCCAACAGTGCAATCTAATCACAGGGAAGCTGTTGAAAAGGTGAATTGAAACACATGTATAAACGCTCCTGCTCCACAGTAAATTTTATACGTGGCTTACTGAAAGGAACAGAACTATCTCATGTTTAATCTTCATGGCCCTACCAGGTACTATCAGAACATGGACAAAAAATGCTTATTATATGATAGTTGTACTGATAATCTTATTATGACTGTAAATATGAAATGAAGCACACATACAAGAATTTGGAGGATGCAAACAGTGGTTATAAATACTGTACTGCAAGAGAATACAGTAATTCTCTGAAATGGTATAGGGCACGGGTGTCAAACTCGATTGTGTCACATGACGTATCGTGACATATAGCGACGTTTTTTGCCTTTGCGGAGCCGGGGTGGGCATGGCCTGCATGTGACACAGCTGGACTGCGGGCTGCCAGTTTGACACCCCTGGTATAGGGTTTCCTGCTTGAGCAGGGGGTTGGACTAAAAGACCTCCAAGGTCCCTTCCAGCTCTATTCTGATTGAAAATGTTTATACACAGCATTGGTTAAGAATCATGGGCACTATGCCTCTGTCACAGTCATAACTGTGATAAATCATGGTTTAATCAGCTTAGCTTTCATGCATTATATGAAAAAAACTCTCAAAAGGGTTGGGGAAAAATTGGCTGCATGGCTAAAGAAACCTAATATTTTGAGATGTCTCCTGCCCTCTTGCTGTCTGAATGGGAACTGATATGTCCTATCTCTGCATTTTTCTTGAAAAGCTTGGTTATAGTCTAAGAGGAACTACAGATAACAGATAAATAACTTCATAGGTTGCTCCAGGAACAGCTTTACCAACAAGGCCATCTTTTAAGAAGTACACCAAAGGTCCCAGATTGTTGGGGGCAATATGCCGATTCTGTAAACTGCTTAGAGAGGGCTGTAAAGCACCGTGAAGCAGTATATAAATCTAAGTGCAATTGCTATTGCTATCTCTGAAAATTGCTAGAAAGTAGTTTCACTCTTTTTAAGGAAATATTTCCTGCACATTGCAAACTCCTCTTACAAACTCAGCTACATTACTGTGATGCAAACTGGATCAAATAGCCTAGATTAAACTTATGTTGGAAAGTAAACAAGCCGAGCATAATATTTACTTCAACAATCAACATGCAACAACTATGGAACAGCACAAACCTCTCCATAACTGGAGAATCCTTCCATATTGGGACCAAAACTACATTGGTTGAACTCATGGATGATCTCTGGCAGGAACAGGATGCAGCTGGTACATCCATCCTCATTGTACTTGACCTCTCAGTGGCTTTCAGTATCATCAACCATGGTATCTAACCCCAACTTAGGGATTTGGGGGTGAATGGCACAGTTTTGTGCAGTTATCTCCTTCTTCCATGTCCGTATCTAATAGGGACTGAGAAGTTCTATTCATGACTCCTCCTTTGTGGGGTATCAAAGGCCTTGATGCTCTCTACTTCTTTTTAACATCTACATGAAACCAATGGGTGTTATCATCAGTCTCTCTATATAATCACCAATACGCTAATGATACCGAGCTATATATCTCTGCCCCGGGTGCAGTGAGTAATGCAGTGGATGTCCTTTCATGGTTCCTGGGGGCTGGAGGGATCTGGATGAGAAACAACAGACTTCAACTGAACCCTGTTAAGATGGAGTGGCTGTGAGTGGGCTACTCTGTATCCAGGATGGAGTTGTGCTACCCTAGAAAGACCTAGTCCATAACTTTGGGGTCCTTTTAGGCTCACGACTCCCGTTCGAAGAGCAGGTAGCAGGCGTGGTCAGAAGAGCCTTTGCCCAATTCCACATTGTGCACCCATTATGCTTCTTCGGGTCCAGTTCATGACCCATCCTACTCAGGCAAGGGAGATATGCTGTGTATCCCTTCAATCAAATAATTTAAACTGGTGGGGTCTAGGAAGAGAGCTTCTCTGCTGCTACCCCCACATTATGGAACAACTTGCCCCCAGAGGTGAGATGGGCCCCCATGCTCCTAGCCTTCCTCAAAGGGGTCAAAATATGGCTATGTGGCCTTGCATGGGGGGCACAGAGGACCACACAACCTTAGGACTTGTTGACCCCATGAGTACCACTCCTCCACCTTATTAACTATTGCTAAACGCCCATCTTGGAATTTTTTTTACCTTTTTGAAATTTTATAATGTTATATTTTATAATCTAAAATGTTTTAATCTTAATTCAATTTTAATATTAAATATGAATAATATTTATATATTGATCACATTGTATATGGGGGAGATGGGCAGCTAAGAAATAGGAAATTTAAATAAATAAATATTTCCAGCATCTCATTCAGCTTCCGTGGAGGGACAGTGAAGAATCCAAGGCAACCCTTGCTCTTGAATGTCTATGGAGATTCTCAGTCATCCAGGTCATCATTGTTATCCCAAAGATGCTTTTTCACAACGCAACTGGATTTTCTTGTTTTTCTTTGAAGACCTTTCGCTTCTCATCCAAGAAGCTTCTTCAGCTCTCTTGCTCTTGAATTGGATTTTGAGCCTCATCTGAGAAAAGAATATTGTTGATGTTGACTCATTGGAGATGACTGACATTACTGTGTGCTTTAGAATGTTTGAAGAAACATATAATGAAGATGATTGATTGCCCCTGAATCTGTTATATATTTGTAAAGACTGATTCTTTGCATTCCATGGCTCTGTAGACTTCGTAAACCATTTGGGGGAAAAATGTAGAGAGGGAGAGACAAAACAGTGGCTTTCTGCCTTTCCTCTGCATGGAGGAACCCATGTGGAGTTTTCTATTTTCTTTTTTCTCTCTTCTCTTAGAAGCTCCTTCTTCACAACCCCATTCTCTGTGCAGAAAGCAGGAAGGGACTCCATGTTCTGTATACAAAAGACAAGTCAGGGAAAGCTTTGGGGAAAGAGACAAAGTCAACGTCCTGAACTTCACAGGGCATAAGCTGAGTATGGTGGATTTATAGAGTCTAGATGTCCAAGAACTTATCCTCAAAGTATACAGTAATTAATTCTTTCAGGAGCAACCTAAGAAATGAAATGTAAACAAAGTCTTATGTCTTTGAATGCCCCAATTTTATACTGCAAAGCTTTCCAGACCAAGGTACTATATATATTTCACTAGTAAAGCAACACAGCCCCTCTATTGAAGGCTTGCAATTCTGACATCTGTCTGTCTTGGTACCATTGTTTTCATGAATGGGGGAAATCCTGACCTTTTATTGCTTTGGGTCTATGTTTCTGTTGGAGAGACTTTTGCCTCATCTTGCTTCTCATTTCCTATGTGATTACCAAGTTCATTCCTCCACTTCCCCAATTCCCTGTTTGTGACAATATACTGGTGTGGTGGGAAAGGTTTGTAGAATTACTGCAATGCTAGCATTATTATTTGCAAGGCTTTGGAAAGCCTCCCAGGTTTGCTGCCAGGTTTTTAGAGTTTTAATGTATTTTTGTTTAATTGATCCTCCCTTAGGCAGATGGCCTTCTAACTGCCTCTGTTTTTCCCCAAAAAATAATGATAGATGTTCCCATACAAATGTATAGGAATAGTTGGGGTGTAAGAGGTGATGCTTGCTGATTATTTTCTGTTAAACTCATAAACATACAGAAATAATCATAGGCATCTAAATACAAGTGGTCCTCGATTTATGACCACAACTGAGCCCCAAAATTCTGTTAATAAGCAAGACAGTTGTTAAGTGACGTTTCTTGCCACACTTGTTAAGTGAATCACTGCTGTTGTTAAGTTAGTAAACTTAACAGTTAGTAACAGTTGTTAAATAAATCTGGCTTCTCCCTTGACTTTGCTTGTCAGAAGGTTGCAAAAGGGGATCACATGACCCTGGGACAATGCAGCCGTCATAAATATGAACCAGTTGCCAAGCATCCAGATTTTGATCAGGTGGCCATGGGGATGCTGCAACAGTTGTAGGTGTGAAAAACAGTCATATGTCACTATTTTCAGTGCTGTTGTAAATTTGAATGATCACTAAATGAACTGTTGTATATTTGGATTAATCTCCAACAGTTAAAACCGCTTAGGCCAATTTTAAGTTTATATCAGGAACAGCCATAAAAGTTGAGAAAACTGTCCCTTTAGCTCTGTACACAAATCCAATGTTATCGAGAATAGCTATGAAGAAATTCTTCATTTAGGAAATCTGCCCTATAACCCTATATAAATCTGTATATAAACCTACATCTGTTTCTCCTTTCTCCTTTTTGAGTTGACTATTGGCTGATCTTTTCTTGACCTTGAATGTCTTTGCCATTGGTTCTTTGTTTATTAAGCTGCTTTCTCTGGTCTGGGAACTGAGGGAAACTTCAATCTTTACAATAATTACTTTCTGACCCTTACCTTTATGCAGAAAATAAAATCTATTTTTTAAGCTGTAAGCAATCTTCTTACTATCTTCAAATCTGTAAACAATAGCGACAAATTCAACTTCATTTCTGTAAAAATAATCTTTAATTTGATAGAATATAAAATAAAGTGTTACTGTTCATCCTGTCATGGTTCCGATCGACAGAGACAAATAAAGCAGAACTCTGAGGCTTGCAAATTCCTCAAAGAACATGTTTATTGATACAGAGTATCGGTACTTCAAAAGTGAAACCAAGTCTGAAGAGATGCATAACAATTCCCCCATACAAAGTTAAGAAATCCCACCTCCAAAACTATGCAAGCAACTATGCTTCCCCACTCAGCTTGTTGGTGGGCTTTTCATGAAACGCCCAGCTTGCAGTCTGGGGAGCAGCCAATGAACTTGGTTCCCATGAGAGAAAGTCCGAGAGAGAAAGTCTGTTTTGTCTAGTGCAGACATGTCAAACACAAGGCCCGGGGGCTGGATGCGGCCCGCGAAGCCATCCTGGAAACAGTGAGGGAATGGCCCCCACTGGCCCAGGCCGGCCGG